TAAATCGTCGGCTTTAAGTATGTTCGGAAATATCCCGTCATATCTCCTAGTAAATATTTTGCTATTTCAGATAACTAATAAGTTTAAAGTAAAATAACTTTGTTCTATGAAATGCACATTGCTAGATATTTCTCGCAGTGACTTGGACTATTGCGTTCAAAAAACTAACATTCTTGTATGTAGTTTACATTCAATGATGAAAAGAGTTTCTGATATTCTTCAATAAATGCCATTCATCCAGCTAGTTTTGTAACACAATCAACAAAGCTTCAAATAACAACACTTAATCGTATTTCACTTTTCTCATCAAATGCAAATGAGTCATTATTAAATGTTTCTATACATACAAGACGATCAGATATAAATCGCATTTTCTTGACTTATTTCTTTCTTTTACTTGTCTCTTCAGATGTTCAGCTTTCATTCATAAATTCATTTTGGAGTTTTACTATGTCTATATATCCCTATTTCCTTTTCTTAGAAACTGAATGTCATGGCATGCAAACCATCATCCCAGACGAGCAAAAGACGGGTAAAAAGGCTAATCTTTTATCTGGTCCAGACGGCACGTCCGGTATCGTCTTTTTCTCAAAACGGACTCGTAGATGACGAGTCTGAAATCGATAGAATGTATAGCACCCATCCGAAATAGGTTGTAAATTTAAAAAGGAAGAGCGTCAGTGATGCAACATCTGTCAGGACCTATTTCTATGTAATAGCCTAGTCCCAACTATTCTAAATGATAGAAGTATCTGCACAGAGTTACATTCGAACATGCATACCATATGTTACCTACTTGTACTTTACCCGATTGAATCATATGATCAAGTAATCAATTTCGAAATGTCAATAGACATTCTAAGACGCGAAACGCTTTTGACTTAGGCTTTCTCAAGTTTGAATATTAAAAAAATGTTGAATATACAATAACAAATTAGTTAAATAAAGCTAAATAAAATTGATTGAGAAATTTTTGACTTTCTTCCAAAAGAAAATTCTTTTACCATTGGTATTTGGAAAATATTATTTTTTATTTGAAAAAAAATTAACATTTCAATAGAAAATATAATTTATATTTTCAAAAATATCTTTCCTGGTGAGGGTGAGGCCGGGTTCGGGTGAGGCCGGGTTCAGGTGTGGCTGTAGATCTGGATGTGCGTGTGTGTATTCCCTGTATTACGACTCATACAACCACACCAACACTCTTTTATGGAAAATATTAATAATCAATAATTAGTTAACAATTAATTATAATGAATGCAAAGTAACCTCAGATTCAGACTCCCCACCATCGATTATCCTTTGGTCAAGTTTTATAGAAAAAACAAATTGGGCGGGGATGTATTTTTTGACTTCGATGTTCTTTTTACCTGGCACACATCCTCCCACACCCTTTCCCCCTCCTCCCACCACAAACGCTTTCAGGTTTTTTCCGTATCACCCTTCCTTCAGTCGAAGGAATTACAGTCCATGAAGTTGAAATAATGAAAGTCGACACCTAGCGCATTCTATAAATTGGAGTAATCAAACACAAAAGAAGTACCATTGTAGTTTAGCCCATTCCACAAATTTTTAATCGTTGAATAAAAATAAAGAAAATCAATCTGTAGGAAACTCTCTAAATTTGAATAAGTTTAAAAGTATAATTGAAATTTTTGTTTTAAAATTGATATGGGAATTTTTTTTAATACCTAAAAACCGAGATTGTAGATCTAATTTTATTTTAAATGTCAATAAATTGAATTTAACAAATTTTTTATTTCGATTTTATGTTCGCAAATGAGCGAATAAGCTCACACCCACGCCCATGTCCCATACCCATCTTCGCGCTTTTCGTTCGAATTATGGCAATGTGTTTAGAAGGATAAAAACAATGAAAGTAAGCATGTCATTTTTTTTTCGTTCCTACCAGGTTGAATAAAGTTTGTTATTCAAATCGTTGAAAAAGCAGCAATGGAACGCATTACGACACTGAATTCCTTTCTTTATTGTTTCTTTTTTCAAACTCAATTTTCATTTTCGACTACTTGAAGCTTGCTAATAGAATTCAACTAACGACAGCACATTTGTCGTTGTCACAAATTCAAAACTGCTTCTCGCAGTACCAATAGATTAAGTTATTTCCGTTTGAATTTGAATAAATCTCTCCCTGCTTGGCTCGTTATCGAGCGGCTAATAAACTCAAAATGAGCAGACGAAAGTCCGTTGAAACACTTTCTAAATCTCAAATGGGTAGTACAAGAAATGCAACGCCACTATCAACCGTCACGGGAGCAATGCGATGCATGACTGAAACCTATGTGATTACATGGATCAATGAAAGCATTAATCCAGACAGTGAAGAATAGAAAATTACACTCACTGAATTGCAAAACGTTACTGACAAAGTGTATATTTTCACCCAACTAGATCATGTTGTAGATTTTCTCGTTAACATCAATGATCAAAAGGCATTTCTCGTCCTTTCAACTGCTAAGAATCAAGACATGATACCCATTATCCATGACATTAATCGTCTCGAAGGTATTTACATCTTGTGTAATAGAGAAATTCAAATCAATGATTGGAACGACAATTTGACCAAAATTAAAGGCATATACAGACATATAGGGTGCCTCTGTAAAGCATTGCAAAATACCATCAAACAAAGTTATCAAAACAACGTCGCCATAAGTTTCGTCAGTGTAGAGCAACATAGCTCAAAAACAAGTCTAGATCGATTGGATCCATCTTTTATGTACACAAAATTGTTTAAAGATATAACGCTTCAAATTGACCACACTAAAGAAGAGATTAAAGACTTTATCCAATATTGGCGCGGCCAATACAAAGACAATAAGGCAATCTCTGGTACTATCACAGAATTTGAGAAGAATTACAACCCAGAGCAGTCAATCCACTGGTACATCCTGGAACCTTTCATCTACCAGACTGTTAACAGCTCACTTAGAACACTGAATACTCAAATAATGAAGAAAATGAGCTTCTTCATTAAAGATCTTCATTGCAAGCTTGAACAATTAAACAAAGAACAGTTTAAAGAATCAGATATAAAAGATTTTGTTCTTTACCGAGGACAAGGATTGTCCTATGCTGACTTAGAGAAAGTAAAAACCACCAAGGGGGGTCTCCTCTCATTTAATAACTTTCTATCCACGAGCCGAAGTCGTGATACTGCCATCGCTTTCGCCGAAAGCAACGCATCAGAACCCAGTTTCGTTGGAATTCTCTTTAGCATGACCATTAGGCCATCAACTGCGTCAACTCCGTTTGCTATCCTCAAAGAGATGAGCAAGTACCCCGACGAGGACGAAATTCTTTTTTCATTGCATACAGTCTTTCGTGTCAATGAAGTTCAGCAAATGTTCAATCAGGCTAATCTATGGGAAGTCCAACTCACTCTAACCGATGAAGATGAACCGCAACTATCTACACTGACACATTATCTACGGCAGAGATTCCGTCCAACAGGTTGGGAGTCCATGGCCAACCTGATGATTCACCTCCATGACTACAATACAGGCGAGGAAATTTGTAATAATCTAATTCACTCATCGTCCACCGAAAACCAAAGAGCGATAGCAATTAAGGGCCTTGGACTGACACAACACCAACGCGGAGAATACTCAAAAGCACTTTCTTCCTTACATACATTACTTGACCTGCTGGAAATAGATCTTCCTCCAAACCATCCTGACTTAACTGTTCTCTACAGCGACATTGCTATGGTGTACCTTGCCACGGGCGAATACTCTAAAGCACTTACATTTAGCAAGAAATCGCTTGAAACCCTTGAAATAGCTCTTCGTTCGAATCATCCAAACAAGACTACATCTTATCATAATATGACGTCAGCGTATTCCTGTATCGGTGAATACTCAAACGCGCTTTCACTCGACCCGTCATCACTTGAAATTCGAAAAATACCTCCACCTAATTATTTTTTTAACTTGTCTACTTCCTACAGCGTCATCGCTTCAGTGTTTTCTTGCATGGGTGAATACCAGAAAGCACTTTCAACAAACGAGAAATTGCTTGAGATCTTCGAACTAACTCTTCCGTCAAATCATCCGGACTTAGCTCTTTCTTACAGCAACCTTGCTTTAGTGTATTCTCACATGGGTGAATACCAGAAAGCACTTTTATCAATCGAAAAATCGCTTGAAATCTTCAATTTAACTTTCCCTTCGAATCATCCGAGCTTTGCAGCTTCCTACAACATACTTGGTTTAGTGTATTATCGCATGAGCGAGTATTCGAAAGCACTTGCATCGTATGAGAAGTCACTGGAAATCCTCAAAATAGCTCTCCCTCCGAATCATCCCGATCTGGCTACTTCCTATGATAATATCGGATCACTGAATTGCAAAATGAGTAACTACGTGGGAGCACTTCAATATCACGTAATGGCACTCCAGATAAGAGAAAAATGTCTAGCTTCAAGTCATCCCAATTTGGCTACTTCGTACCGTAACATCGGTGAAGTATATCGCAACATTGGAGACTACTATAAAGCTGTTGAATATTACGAAAAAGATCTAGAAATATCAACCAAAGCTCTGCCTTGGAATCACCCCTATTTGGCTGCCTCCTACAATAATATCGGGGCAGTGTGCTGCGATATGGGTGACTACTCAAAAGCGCTTGAATTTTATGAAACAGCACTTAAAGCAATAGAGAAAGCTCTGCCGTCGAATCATCCTCATTTAGCTACTTCCTACAATAACATCGGTGAAGTATATCGTAATATCGGTGACTACTCGAAAGCATTTGAATACTACGAAAACGCACTTAAGATAAGCGAAAAAGTTCTGCCTCCGAATCATTCTCATTTGGCTATTTCCTACAACAACATCGGTCTCCTGTATAACAACATGGGTAACTACCAGAAAGCACTAGAATATTACGAAAACGCGCATAAAATAAAAGAAAAAGCCCTGCCCCAGAATCATCCGGATTTGGCTGTTTCCTACAACAACATTGGTCTCCTATATAACAACATGGGTGACTACCCCAAAGCACTCGAGTATTATGAAAAAGCACATAAAATAAAAGAAACCGGAGTGATTGTGAATAATTCTGACATGGCGGTTTCGTACAACAACATCGGTGCAGTGTATAAAGACATGGGTGATTACTCGAAAGCACTCGAGTTTTACGAAAGAGCACTTCAAATACGAGAAAAGACTTTGCCCTCAAATCATCCCGATTTGGCTATCTCCTACAATAACGTCGGTATCGCTTATAACTATATAGCTGAGTACTCGAAAGCACTGGAGTTTCATGAAAAATCACATAAAATAAAAGAAAAGGTTCTGTGTGAGAATCATCCTGAGCTAGCTGTTTCCTATAATAACATTGGGATGGTGTATTTCAACATCGGTGATTACTCGAAAGCACTTGAATATTCCAAAAAAGCACTTAAAGCCTTCAATGAATCGTTACCCGCGAATCATCTCAATTTGGCTTTTCCTTACAATTGGCTTGGAAAGATTTATGCCAGTATGAAAGATTACCTAAAAGCACTTGTATATTTCGAAAAATGTCTCTCAATACGTCAAAAATCTCTCCCTGAAAATCATCCTCTTCTATCTCTAACATATAGTAATATTGGTGATGTTCATCGGTTAATGGGCGATGATGAAAAGGCACTTACTTTTCATCACAAAGCATTAAATATTCAAGAAAATGTTCAATGTAGTCCTTTGGATAGTGCATCGACGTATATAAATTTAGGTGCAGTTTATCGTAACATGAAAGATTATTCAATAGCATTAACCTATTTTCAAAAAGCATTAGATATACGTGAGAAAAAACTACCAAAAAACCATCCTGATTTAGCAGTTGTATATCACAATCTGTCAAAATTATATTTAGCTACAGGAGAATACAATATTGCAATGAAAAATGTTCAAGAAGCACTGGAAATTGCTCAAGAAAAACTACCTTCAACTCATCCACATCTCTTAGAATATAGAGAAACATTTGAAAAAATTCAAGAGAAAATCTAGTTTTTTTTCCGTTCAATTCACTCAGTAAATTCAATTGTTATTTAACCTTTTTTGTTCTCGGCTCATTTTTGGCTTAGGAGCGAGTGACTAGTGAGACCCCTGATTGTCAGACAATGAATAGTTGCAGAGAGGGCTGTGCCGGACTACTAGAGAATCATATTAGCTGTATCGTACACATTGACGAAAGAAACCTACGAATAGAAGGTCTTCCGACTAGCACACTGAGGGGGATGTGGGTATGAGGGTGTGGGGTGTGGGTGTGTAGGTGTGTGGGTGTGGGTGTGATGTGTAGTGTGGGGTGTGGACGTGAATGTGAGTGTCGTGTTTTTCCTTACTCACACCCACCCACACCCACACCCAAACCCACACCCACACCCACACCCCACACCCCACACCCACACCCACACCCATGCAATATTGTCGTCTTAATATTATTTGTGTGAATTCGACTTTTGCATTTAAGCTTCCGAGCATATTCACATTTCCAATAAATTTTATCATCATTTATTTTATCGATAATGTAGCAAAACCCTTTACAAAGTAATAAAGGTTTGTTCTTTTCCGTCGTACTTAATGTAAACGTCGACATTTTAGAGAAAAAAAGAAACTGATCTGCTCTAATAACTTGATATATATATATCCTACTTCTCTTTTCCTCTCCGTCATTGTCTAATCAATTGTTCTTAACCGGCAGCTTTACATTAACACATTTTTTTCTTAATTCCAAATACGTCGACTAGACTATATTTCATATCGACCAATTTTCGTAGCGACTAATTTTCGTATCGAGCAATTGTCGGCGAGCAACTATCGTTCGTCCAACTTTCTTTCGAGCAATTTTCGTAGACCCTAAATTAACATATATATTAAATAATGATAAAACAAAAAAAATGATTTATTGAATCACAAAATGGATCAATTCATTTAATTATTGATAAGATTTACACTAACGATCTATCCTATATGAATGTTCATCAAAAAATGATTACTAAAGTATGTCACTTTTATTTATTTTAATTTTATCTATAAAACATACATAACAAATTTTTTAATTAAATCGAACTATTTCTTTCAAGATTCTTTAAATAAAATAAAAAACTTTTATCTTTTATAATACTAAGAAAAATTATTTCTACTAGTAAATAATATCTTTAGAATTAAATATTTATTTTAAAAATAAATTATTTTGATGTTCAAAGAGACGTTCTTTATGACAGAATATTAATTAAATGTTTAATTTTTTCTTTTATAATAGTCGATCAATTTTATTCAAACAAACAATAAATAAATATTTCTTTGACAATTACTTTGCTCGTGTTTCTACGTTGTTCCTTAATTGAATGAGTCAGACTGTTTTTTTTCAATGAGAGACTTGTTTTTTAATCGAATGCTGTTTGTTTAATAAACTCATTTTCACAGTTATTAGTTAAATGAATATGTTGATGCTTGAATCATAAATCGATTTGTCTCACTCATACAGACAATTATTCTAATATTTCATGAAATCAACGCTTATCAAAATGATGATAAGATAAATAAAATTCAATTCAAATTAATTTTATCCATTTAGACTTTAATATCATTTAGTAATAATTTGATTATTTCAACAGAAGAAAATAGAAATATAATATTATATGACTTAAATTCATCTCAATCAAATAAAGAATTCAAGCATATTTATCGTGATGAAATACTTATTAATAAAAATATTCTAAAAATACAAGTAATCTTATTTCACATTTATAGAAATGAATACAAAAGTCTAAACAAAAAAAAAATGTGAAAAATTTTTCGGCTATTTAACGAATTCTATAAGATAACTTTATTTATATACAGATACATGCAGTAGAGTGCAAAAGTCTTTGCCACTTGTATATGCCGCCTTTCCAAATGAATACGTACTCGTAAAGTGATCATCGTTGATATTACACCAGAAATGTTCGTCTGATGAATTTCTTCATTTCGACGACTGTGAAATGGAATGCAGAAAGATCAAAGAACACGGTATGATACAGAACAAACATCATTTTAGGCTATTTTGATTGACCTCTCAGAATCATTGTTGTTGACAGAGAAAAACTACTTCCATGAATTTGATAAAACAACAATAGCCTATGATTAGCAGTTATTCGCTTAGTAGTAATATGGATACGTCCTATTATATTTAATTTTTTCGAGATAACCTCCTGTTCACATCAACAGAAGACTATGAGCGTACAAATCCTAGCTGGGTATGGAGAGATTCCCTTAATTGAATATAAAATCTTTAGTTGATCATTGAACGTCGTTTCGAGCAGCAAAAACTCTCAAATTTCGATTACTTTGGCAGGTATCTGCATGAAATACATAAGAAAAGCGGCTTAGTTACGCTAAATGATTCTATCGAGTCGATGAAAAAAACATATTTAGCTATGATTTCTCGTTCTACTTTTGAAGCTTGCACTATGCTCTATTTGTTTGTATATTTGATTTCTCTCCTTATCACATTCATCTGGAGAGCTACTTAAAATACTAGGGGCAAAAACTTTTGCACTCTACTGTATCTATAGAAGACAAAAAAAATAGTTTTAATTATGATTACATCTTAATGTATGATGTTTATAAAATGATCATTAGATATTCAATATTGAAAAAAAATCTATCGACTAACATAAAAGTATTAAAAACATATTTGACCACATTCATAAAATAAAAATTGATTACTTCATAAGAGACTGTCAATAAATTGTTTAATCTTCTGAAAAATGATTTAAATCTTCGAATCATCATTAAGTTAATTAACTAGTCAATAATTTTTTATTGTTGTTTTTATTTTATCAAGGTTAATTGAATTCAATTTCTACATAAGTTAAATAATTTTTATTTGTCTAAGGTGGAGAAATGAATCGAAGAATTTAATGATTCAATCTGATAGCATTTTGTTTTCTGTTGGGAATCTTGTACAATTATATTTGAATGTAAAGTAATTAATAAAAGGTGAAATTGAAATAGCACATGAACATGGAAATAAAAGAATTATGCAAAAATAAATTCCATTTTAAAAGTGAATACGAACAAAACAAATATATAATTTAATCAAAATTAAAAGAAAATCAAGATAAATTTATTTTATTTAATATGAAATATTTATATTTAAATGAATATAAACAAATTGAATTAATTCATTTATCATATAAAGAATATTAGAAAATTTTTTTTGTATAGTTTTTAATGAAAAAAGAAAAACAAAAGAAATAAGTTAATTTTTTTAACTTAATTTAATTCAGATCGAACAAGTTGAACAAAAATCAAATCATTTTGAAGATGATATAAAATAAATTGAATTCGGATGACAATAATTAATCCATCAAATTCAACAAAGAAATTCTATTATTCAAGATAAAGTTTTTTTGTAAAAAATTTATTTTTATTATTTTGTTAAAATGTACAAATGATGTAAAAAAATCGATACGATAAGTTAGAAAAATTTACATATGTTTTTAATTATAAGATTCAAGAATTAATAAATGAAATAGCTCATCGACAACATGAAGTTACAGCTTTAATTGAATAATATAATAATGTTTATATTAAATTTATTTATTTAGATGGATAATAAATATGATATATTATATCAAAATAATGAAAAATAAAAATAGCTGATTAAAAAGCAACAAAAAAAAGAACATCAATATGGAACAATTGCTGTATGTTTCTTCTTTTTATTTCAATAAATCTGTTGATTGTTTATTTATAAAGATTCATAAGTTAAATGCAACAATTTCAAATATAAAAGAAAATTTAAAACTATGTTATAATTTAATTGATAAATTAGAACAATTAATTAAGATTATTCGAAATATTTATGGAAAATATATTTTTCACATTGATGTTAGTTACATTTTAATAATCTTTTTTTTTTGAAATTTTTCATTTCATCCTTTTATACAAATAACATTTTAAGTATGAGAGGAAAAAATGATTTTTTTTTTCGACTGAATAATATCATTCTTTAAAAAACACTAGGAGCATATTAGTTCGACTAAAATTGAATTGGTTTATTTCGAAATCGAACTATAATCATATTTTCGATATTATTCTTAATAAAAAAAAAACAAGATTTTTTTAATCTATGTTATTGTATTTGAAGTCTCTTATACGTATTGAAAATTTTTCATTGATATTTGTGTCTGTAACGAAAGTCAAATAAATATTGCTTTTCTTTTTTCTATAGAATATCTTCATGAGAGTATAATTATAAAATGAATTATCTTTTGATTGAATCTTGTAAATAAATATAATTTAAAGTATTGAAGATGATTTTTATTTATAATAAATGTATTAATTTAATTTAAATATAAATGAATTTGTTCGATTGTGAACGATAATAATCTTATTTTGAACAAACAAATCAAAGATTACAAAGAAAAATTCTTTATATTCGACGTGCTCAAATTTTTATTCAATTTTATTTAAATAATAATGATAATAATACTAAAGAATATTTTTGATAGATACAAATAAATATGATGTGTGATTTATCATCTTATTGTTTAAAAATAGTTGAACTTCAAAGAATATTATCTGATTTAAATATTATATCGAATCTTTCTATAAAAATAAATAGAACAACATCAAATGATATAATTCATGCAATTACATTTGAACAAACTTCGAATTTTATTCAAGAAAAACATATTGAACAATTTAAGAGATTTTTATTCAAATATTAGAAGAATATTTGAGACATAAAACTTTTCAATCTTCTTTCGGGTCATCATATTCTATTAACTCTTCAATATCAATTGATCAACCAGCAATTATTTTATCGAATTCAATACATTCTTAAACATCAACTATTATTCAAAAATCTGAACTACCTATTTTTCTTTTGTTCGACTCTCTATAAACAAATATTCGTTAATCTTATTAGTAATTTTAAAAGCATCATTTCTTTAACGATCTTGATATATCCAACATTTTCCGATTTAATTTAAACAAAATTTTCATAAGGGTGTGGG